TTTCACTTTTGTAAAATCTTGCGTAGAAGGTAAAGAGTGATATCAAAAGTTAAATGGATACATGCGATCTTGTTGACTATTTTAAAATGATAATGACAGTTAACTTTCAGTTTAGGTTTAATAATTTAAACAGTTGACTAAATTATTCATCATCATTATCAACCATAATTGTCAACATCATCATCATCCCAAAGAACCCGACATTTAATCTCAACGGGCGACCTCTTGGTTAAGTACAGGAATACACACACGTCACGTACAAGGGCCCGTCCATAAATGACGTCACGCACCTAGTGGGGGGGGGGGGGGGTCAGACATTTGTGACGATGTGTGACGGGGGGGGGGCTTTGAGAAATGTGACGTCACATCAAAATGCGCAACTTTAAATACATATAGACAACACGTTCTACTTAATTAAATAGACTTTTAATAAATGTTTTCTCCTACAACATCAGAGTGCAGCGGCACATTAAATACGCACTACAATGACAATAATTTAAAGCGATTTGAAGCATGTTTTATATTTTTTTGGGGGGGGAGGTAGAACTTTGTGACGTCATATTTGAGGGGGGGGTCTGACTTTTTGTGACGCCGTGTGACGAGGGGGGGGGGGGTCAAAAATCGTCCAAAATCGCATGACGTCATTTATGGACGGCCCCCAATGGGTGGACAAAAATCTGAGCCTTATAGAACTCGCAATACCACAGAGACCGGTATTGTTCGAGCTCACGTTGAGTAATAGTGAAATAGCCAGGGAACGGTATCCTCTATTGCGTAGGTCCTTATTTACACTCTGCCGAGAGCAGGTAGACAACTTCGGACACTGATAATTAGGAATTCAAGCATTGTACTGCCACGGAATCATTGTCGCTACGGAGCAGGGGACCATCTTCTTGTTTTTTTCGGTAAAGTCAAGTAGAATGGAAATAATAAAATAATAAAAATAAAACATAAAAATAGACACTCCAAGTCCAGGACGTGTCATTCAGACTCTGTCTTATCGACAGACCTGTTCTTCACCTGAGGACGGCTGCTTGCGTTGTGGCCGAAACGTCGTGAGAATTATTTTATTATGTTTTATTTTTATTATTTTATTATTTCCATTATACGTGACTTTACCGAAAGAACCAAGAAGGTGAATCCCTGCAGTCACGAAAGCTTTCAATCGAGCAGGGGACCATTGGAAATCCACGAACCAATGTTGAGATCACGGGGGTAAAATGCATTATCATACGCGACCGGTTAGCAAGCAGTATTTTGTCCTCGCAAGAAGACCGTTGAAGATGACCCAGGATCCAATTGGGCTGTAACTGCGATGGATGGTGCAACGTACGGAGGCTGCGGGAGGTGTGGCTTTTACACTATGAGACATCTCCTTTACCAATGGCAAAATATAGTAATAGGTTTTTACCCTTCTAACTGGTACAAAAACTGACACCTTTATACAAGGCATCATGTTTGCAATAACCACAACACAAGCAGTCAAAATGCAAACAAAAAGAAACAACTCTGATGATGATAATTGTATGCACTGTCCTTGAAGTTGATTGGTCCACACCCGAGACAGCTTTTCTTAGAGCCTAGTCTCCATTGGTGTTGGACCAGATGACGCCAAAAGGCGTGCATACATGATGCCTTGTATAAAGGTGTCAGTTTTTGTACCAGTTGAAAGGGTTAAAACCTATTACTATAGGTGTGGCTTTGTGGAATATCGCTGCGCTACTGTTACACGGTGAGCTGACACCGTGGCCATCGGTGTGGGATGAGTGGAAATAATCTGGCGGGTAATGGACAGTGGGTGTGTGTGTGTGCACGTCGGGTGACCAGACAGCTGAGGTGCGAAATCAAGAACGAGTGTTCAAAGAACTTCCCGTGACAGCTCTTGACCTCACGCGCGCAGATTACGACGTGTTTAAGAGGTGCTTGATCACCTGTGATGAGACCTGGGTTTAACATTATTACCATTCATAATAGAGTTTTTTTTTATTTTGACGAGGTTGAGGCCCTTTATCAGAAGCGACTTGGTCACAAATGAAATCCCGATAAAGTGACTTATCATCGTAATGTAGAAATGTATAACAGTCAAACATTCTAAACGCACGCTGATTCTAAATGTGGTGGGACAAACCGGAGGAATCCAGAGAAAAACCCACACGAGCATGGGGGGAATATGCACACTTCAAAGTTATATGGGCGTCAGGGTCAGGATCGAACCAACGACCTCCTCTATACCAGGCGAGGTAGTTAACATCGCGCCTGGTAAAATAAAAATATATAGTTTAAATTTCGATTTAAAGCTTTCGTGACTGCCAAACCTCCTACGCATTTCACAAGTAGTACTAATCGCATCTCTGCATTTCCCATAAATATTCCAAATTCTACTTGACAGACCTGTTCTCCACCTGAAGATAGCTGCTTGCGTTGTGGTCGAAACGTCGTGAGAATTATTTTATTATGTTTTATTATTTTATTAATTTCCTTCTACGTGACTTTACCGAAAGAACCAAGACGATATATAGTTTAGTTTAGATTCAAGAGCATATCAGATGGTACAATGCAAGCCTTGGGAGGTGGTACAGATTGACTTCACGTTAAAGAGATGCCCAGGGGTCAACGATTGCGCAGACTTGCATGAGTCCATCATCGATGCTGCAGGGAAATTCTTTTTGGAGGAACTCACGCATCCTAACTGTTCCACAAGAGCCGGTACAAGTGACGGACTGGGGCTAGAAACGGGCCCAGGCGTTGTGTTAAACGCACAGCCGGGCACAAATTGCCGTGCCGATCTCATTGGCCCTATTCTCGTGATGGCTCCCAAAAAAAAAACGAATGGGGCCGGTTAGGAAAACACTTTGGGCTGCCCGAATATGGGCAACTTCATGCCAACTGAAAGCGAAAATAAGCAACGAAGCTCAGACATTAGAGGTAATGACATATTTCAATTAAACATACATGAATATATTTGATAGATTTTTATATTCTTAGGTTGTTTCGGTAAAGTCTCGTAGGTAAAAATTTTTTTATTAATAAAAATAAAAAAATAAAAAAGATGAAAAGTAAAAAAAAATCACGACGTTTCGGAAGCAACACAAGCCTCTGTCTTCAGGTGGAACCGTCACAGCCACGACATTTTACTTGATGCAGCTGTCGTGGCTGTGACGGTTCCACCTGAAGACGGAGGCTTGTGTTGCTTTCGAAACGTCGTGAATTTTTTATTTTTTTTATTTAACTTTTCTTAATTTAAATTTTTTTACCTACGTGACTTTACCGAAAAAATCTAACAATATGAATCCTTGCAGTCACGAAAGCTTCAAATCTAGATTTTTTCAATGTTTTATATATTAATATAGATATTTTACTCTGATCACATTCACAATTTTCGCATACAAACCGGCCCCACTGGCTCTCAGGATGGACCAGCACCATCAAGGACTGCTGCCCCATGGCTGCCACCCAGTGACATCCAGCTGCACCTCCCAATTTAAGGAACATCCGTGTGAGAATAATGATGAGGATGGTAGTGATTTTGATGACGGTGGTGATGATAGTGATGTTGGTGGTGGTGATGATGATGGTGACGATGATAATGATGGTGGTGATGGAGCTGTTGACGATAATTATGGTGATCATTATGATGATGAGCAGTGTTGTAAAATATCAAACCCCAATGGCTAACTCAGCATGAGGATGCCTTCACCCAGAAGTGGATTAACAAAGCTATACATGAGTATGTACAATATACAGCGCAAGCATCATCATCATCATCAGCCTCAGCATTATCATTATCAGCTGTAAAAGCAGCAGCATAATTGCCACTATCGGGCCTTAGTTGCCTCTGAATTGTAGCCTCGTTGGTTAAATTCAGGTCAGCCACTATTAACACGCGTGTGTGTGTGTCGATAGAGGCAGTGTAGGGGGAGCGGTGGTGTAGCAGTTAGCGCACTGCGCTATGAACCCAGCGACCCAGGTCCGATTCCCGCTCACGACGATTTTCTGAACCGGCCCTGGGCCTCCCCTAGGTCGACTCAGCCTCAAATGAGTACCTGGTGCGGTGTGTAAACATCGCCACTGGGGAGACAAAGGCAGTCGGGCGTGGTGCTGGCCACCCACCCCCTCGTGTACCGTTCTGGCCTTCATAGGTGCTCGCTAACAGCACTTGCCCCTACAGTCTGTTAATGCTACATGGGGGAGGTCTCTTTGGATAGTGGCAGTGGTTTGCTCAATGCACTGTGAACCCGGTGATCCAGGTTCAATTCCCGCTCTCGGTCAACACAAGTGATGATAATTATATAATATAAAACGAGTGCTGTGCCTTCCTTAGGTCGGCTCAGCCTTAAATGAGTACCTGGTAGGGTGTGTAATACATTATCATTGTGAAGACAAAACCCGGCCCGGTGTGGTGCAGGCCACCCCCTAGTGTGCCGTACTGACCCTAATAGGTGCTCGCTAACATCACTTACCCCAACAGTCTGGTCAAGTGTGTAGAGTGGTGAGCATATTTCTGGATCATGCCCTCGGTAAAGCGACCGGTGTTCAATTCCAGGTCATGGTTAATGTTACTGTCAGGTCTCATCTTTAAATCTGAATCAGTCCAACGTCTGCCCTACCTGGGTGAACTTTTATTTTAAGATACCTGTATATGCAACCACTCAAACACACAGTCCGTGTGCATACCTGTAAATGTACCCACTCACACACAGTGTATGTGCATACCTGTAAACTCGTTCAATCACACACAATCTATGTGCTTACCTGTATATGCACCGAGTCACACGCGGTCTATGTGCATACCTCCGTATGCAGCCACTCACACACACACACAGTATGCACACACCTCTGTATGAACCTACTCACAAACAGCCTATGTATGTTACCCGCAATATGTACCTACTCACAGTGTAAGCACGCGCACGTATCAACTCATCAGACACACACATTAAAACAACAACAACCACAGCAACAACAACAACAGCAACCACCGACGTCAGGTGACCACTCACCTGGAAGAGACGCAGGATGTTGGCCACCATGATGGACACGGAGCTGCCCGAGGCGCCGATGACTCCGACGATTCTCTCGGGTTTTGTGAACACGGGAGCCTCCCCGTTCTGACAGCGCACGTCCGACGTGTCCTTCTCGATGAGCGCCTGCACGAACGTGAGCGACTGCTCCAGCGCGTACGTGTCCCGCGAGCACGTGTCCAGGATCCGCGCGCCGAGCGTGATGTTGGGCAGCAGGTCGGGGTCGCTATTGATCTTGTCGAGAGCGTAGAGCATCGCCTCCATGCGGTGGATGCCCTTCTCTTTCTTGATCTCGCCGCACGCCACTCCGGCGGGGCCCTTCGAGTGCACGGGGAAGAGACCGCCCAGGGTGATGTCGCCTTCGATGCGGATGGAGTGCGAGTGCGTGGCTCGGTCCTGGGCCACGCTCACAGGCAGCGGCGGCAGCAGGAGAAGGAAGAGGAGGAGGAGCGGCGTCGCCATCGGAGTCGCGGCGGGTCTTGCGCCCAGCAGAGGAGACCTCGCGCAGTGGAAGGAGAGCCAAGGACTCGTCCTGTTGCATCGGCTGGGCGGGACGTGCATCCTTGCAGAAGGCGAGTGAGGATGCGTGCTGCTACTGCTGCTAAGAGCGTGGAGAGGCTGGCAGCAGGAGCAGCAGGAGCAGCAGGGGTTTACTTTATCCAGAACCTGGGAGGCTTGAGGGAACCCTTCTCGTTGGCTGGCGCATTCCTTAGAGAGCGAGGGTGGAGGAGGAGGAGGTGGTGGTGGTGATGGTGGTGCCGCGTGGGTTCAGAATGTTCTGGAAAGGGTCAGGCTGGCTGTTGTCATTGGCTCGGAGCGTGGTGGCTTCTGATGCGTTCGGCATGTCCCCCAGAGATATGCAGATGAAGTGACGAGGATGACCCCGCCGGCAGCGGTGGTGGTGGTGGTGGGAGACGCGCACCCTCCTCCAAACGTGGATTGGATCTGCGCTCACGTCTGAGTGCAAGGGAAATGCACCCAGCTCACAATCTCACCCCCAATCATTGTTTCTCAATCGTGTAAATGCGTTGCTTTCCATCTCACACACACAGATATATTGGAGAGTTTTTTGTACTACTATTTTTATTTCACTAGGTAAGGCCCTATTGAGCAATCTTGCTCTTTATCAGAAGCGACCTATCCACAAATGCATATCAGACTAAATACTCTAAACGCACGCTTCTAAATGTATAGGGTAAAACCGGTGACCACAGGGAGCACATGCAGGCGAGGGAGTTAACATCTCCTATCCACTGCGATGGTGATGAGAGATAGAGACACTGCAAACTCCAAATATACAGCAGCAGGCGTCAGGGTTGGGATCGAACCCACGGCCTCCTGTACACAAGGCGAGGTAGTTAACATCTCCTAGCCACCGTGATGATGATGATGAGAAAGGCGCAAACTCCAAATATACAGCAGGCGTCAGGGTCGGGATCGAACCCACGACCTCATGTATACCAGGCGAGGTAGTTAACATCTCGCTACCGCGGCGCCTACATATATACAGGGATGGCCCAAAATTCAGGACACATACGGTTACTTCATTTCTTTCAACACTGGCAATTACTTTTTTTAATTGTTTCTTGTATAAGTTAACATTTTACCTATTATCGTCATTATTATAATCTATTTTTGCTGTGGGGGTCACTTAATATCTGACGCTTAGAAAACTTGACCAAGAACCCTGAATTAATTTAGACGCGACACAATGGATGAATAGTCAAAGATTACACGGCTGTAATATCCCTACACAAAAGTCCTGAATTCATTTCGAATGAGAATTCATGCAGCATTCATGAATGTTAATGGAAGTCAGTTTGAACATTTGTTAAAATAAATATAAAAACCCTATTTGTCCTGACTTTTAGTCCACCCCGTATATTAACGCCCACAGTATTTCGGTTATAACCACCTGCAAACTCACTTAGGCAAGCGTCGTTTCTCATTAGCTCGAAAGGTCTGGAATGGAACTGCAAGTATAGGCACCACGTTTATTAAGAAGAGAGATCGAAATGTGCCCCAAAACATAGTGAAACATAAAATGTGCAAACATTAATACCCTTTAATTCAACCAGGTGTATACGAAGACCTGGGTTATGAGATCAGATACTAATAATAAAACAGCACTGGAATACAATATAGATGGTCTATTAGGTCTTTTAAAATGAAATCATCAGATGCAATCGTGGAACACTGAGTACGGAAACACAATCACGCAAAAGTGCATTGATATGCATTGCGCGCACTTTGATATGCACACATCAAAGTCGCATACACGACGCACGCTAGCACAGTAATGAAATGGGCCTCCTTATGCCAAATCCACTGCTGGATGAAGTGCTCTCTCCTTACACACTGTGTCCGTAACGTAAGCTTGTTTGACCATACTTCACTGCTGTGGTCAGTGCGGATTGGTGAAGTGGGTTGATACAAAAAAAAACAGCTACGTCGACTTGCCCTCAAATGAACACCCCGATGCGTTGCGTAAACATCGCCACTGGAGAGACAAAGGCGGCCGGGCTCGGTTCTGATCACTCGTGCGACGTTGCCGGGCTTGGCAGGTGCCCGCTGGCACGCATTTGCCCCAACATCCCAGTAAAAAGCTACCCCCGGGGATCTTTTCCTCGGTGTCACTCGTTGGTTCGCACGGAAGCGAAGCGTGAAGCCAGACGTCGTCTTTGCGACGTTCATGCGACGCCCGCAGTGCACGCTCGTGCCTCTTCTACACCGTCGAGTGCGCGTCACCTCTCTCGGCACGGATACACACAGACGGAGACGTACCTCTCGTAAGGCATCAAACGCCATCACAACGCAACTAGCACTAAACCACCCTTTTGTCAAGCCACTGCTCAACGGAATGCCGCTCCTGGCTTCCGTGTGTCGAGCGTGGTTTGCGAGGGGGGTCGAATGTTTGACCATACTTCACCACCCTGGTCACTCACTGCGGCTTGCTCATGCGGGTTAAACCATTAGGTTCAGACATCATTCGTCACTGATGTTAGCCGTGGGCAGCGATTAACACTTACAGTATATACACTGTGTTTATATATAAACTCAGCATATGTGTCAATAACACTGTTGCCTTAAAATGAAAGAGTATGTGATCGGCGACGTTTCTCGCAATGGCCCTTTATTTACAGCACGCGGAGAGGCCACAGAGTTTGTGCTGCGAAGAAGAACCATCGCCCGAAACGTCGCCCGATACACGCGTCATTGTTTCCCATGCAGTGTTGTTGACGAACGTGCTGAGTGTTGCTGTTGTTGTTGTTGTGTGCATCACTGCCAACGCAGGCATCGTCATCATCATCATGGAATAATTGGCACCTGTTTGTATGAAAGGGTGTGTGGTCACGTGAACTAAGGCGCATCACAGCGTCACTCGGTTATCCGCCCGAATGCACCCCTTATTCGTTGCGCTTGCCAATTTGGAAATGTATTAGACTAAATGGCCATATCGATTAGCCCAAGGGGGGGTATCGATTTATGTAAAGGTGGACTATCATTAAATATTGGTGACCGATCAGGCATCTCGCACCGACGCACAACTTTTGATGCGTGCTAACGCCGATAATAACCAGCTCGGGAAAACGCCGTGAGCATTGCACACGTTACAAAAGACAAAGAACCCCCTGATAGCCTTTGACAAGCTGTTGGGGCAAGTGCTGTTAGCGGACACCTACGAAGGCCGGTACAGCGGTGTGGTCAGCACCACGCCCGACCGCCTTTGTCTCCCCCGTGGCGATGTTTTCCAATCCCACCAGGTACTCATTTGAGGCTGAATCGACCGAGATGAGGCCCAGGACCGGTTCAGATGATCGTCACTGGTGCTGTTGGAGGTGAACGGGAACAGAACTCGGGTCGCCGGGGTTTCCCAGCGTAGCGCGCCTAGACGCAACAAAGCCAAAGATGCCCCCGTGTAGCCTCAACAGAATATTTGGGGCGAGCGCTGTTAGCGAGTGGCACCTCTGAATGTGACAGCACTGCACCACCGCTCCTCACGTACATCACAAAGATCCCCCATATAGCCTTAACAGACTGTAGGGGCAAGTGCTGTTAGCAAGCACATATGAAGGCCGGAACGGTACACGAGGGGGTGGGTGGCCAGCACCACGCCCGACCGCCTTTGTCTCCCCAGTGGCAATGTTTACACACCGCACCAGGTACTAATTTGAGGCTGAGTCGACCTAGTGGAGGCCCGGGACCGGTTCAGATAATCGTCACTGGTGGTGGCCGTGAGCGGGAATCGAACCCGTGTCGCCGGGGTTCATAGCGCAGCGCGCTAACCGCTACACTACCGCTCCCCCCACACACATAGACAGACACCCGTCGCCAGCCCGTGACCAAAGCACCTCCGATCTCGTCGGATCTTGAAAGCGTTCAAACAAACTGGACGGGGGTTGAGGAGTCTGGACGTTTGGTTGGATGACGTGAGGAGACGGAGGTAGGGGGGGGGCTGACCAACATGCCCTAAGAGGCAGGTGCAGCAGGTGGTGCGAGCAACAGGGGGCACTGTGGCAAAGGACTCTATCGTAACCCGCCGCTGAACAGTCCCGGTCAAAATAGAATCCCGGGATGGCGTGGGTGGGGAAGGTTAGCGGAGAGGGGGGGGGTCCCTCATCCAGCAGTGGAAAGACGAGCTGTGTTGTGCAATGTCGGCGTGGCGTACGTGCCAGAGGTTGCGGCTAGCTGCTGCAGCTGCAATAACTGGGGGGGGGGGGGGGGGGGGGGGTTTCAAGCGATGCACTGTCGTGTCAGAGGCTGGGACATCTTGCGTTTCTGTTTCTAGATCTTGGTCTCGAGATATGCGTTCGATGAGTCTGTTTCTTCGCGTCCAATTGAGGGTATTCAGAAAGCCAACCCAATCCTTTGGCTTTCTCGTCGCACTGTCCAAACGTTCTACAATTTTAGCAAGCCTAAATAAATAATGAATGCGTCGCGTACGCGTGTACGCTGAACTTTTTTCGCGCCGTACGTAGCCAACCGTGCCCACCGGAGGTGTTAACGGCAAACGTGAATACCGATATTGTTCGTACGTCAATCCATCCACTGCTGAGCGAACGCCGTGTCAGTAACGGGGGATGCTTGACTATACTTCACCACGCTGGCCAGCGTCGTTTGGTGAATAGGGGAGGCGGGCAGTGGTTGGGAATCGAACTCAGGCTCCCATGCTGCCCCCAGCGAAGCGACACGTGAGTGTGATATTTTATATTAACTCATGGTGTGACCGTCGATTAGTGGCTTCCACAGTTGCAACACGCCAAAGACAAAGATTCCCTCGTTATAGCCTCGCCAGGCTGTTCGGGGCAAGTGCCGTTAGAGCAAAGCACCAATTAAGGCCGGCTCGGCACACCAGGGGGCTGGTACGGCAATCACCACAACCAGTGCGTCTCCGTCTCTCCAGCGCCGATGTTTTACACACCGCATACCATTCTCACGTAAGGCTCAGGAGCACCTATTGGAGGCCCAGGGCCGGTGAAGATATAGTATTCGCAGCTGATGTTGGCCGTGAGCTGGAAATGAACTCGGGTCGCTGGTTGGTTTTGTAAGCAAAAAAAAAGCACCTAAGCACTACAACAACCGATCCCCAATCCAGCATCAAACAGGAACGCATGCAACCAAAGATCCCACGTATAGCCTGAAAGGACTGTTGGGGCAAGTGCTATTAGCGAGCACCTATTAAGGCCAGCACGGTACACGATGGGGTGGTTGGTCAGCACCACACCCAACCGCCTTTGTCTCCCCAGTGGCGATGTTTACACATCGCACAAGATACTCATATGAGGCTGAGTCGACCTAGGAGAGGCCCAGGACCGCTTCAGATAATCGTCACTGATGTTGTGCCGTGAGCGGGAATCGCACTCGTGACTGCCTGGTCCGTAGCGCAGCGCGCTGACCACTACACAACCGCTTCCCCCCCACACACACATGATGAAAGCAATCAGCCTCCTTAGCTCGCAATACAGATGTGCTCCACCCCCTTGCCTATCTCTTGCATCGTAACACTGCGAAGTCGGCCGCTGAGTCAGCCAGAGTCGCTAGTCCTGTACAACACTCGCGTCACCGTGAGCCGAGGGCGCGGGAGCTCAGTGGGCTATCTTACAAGTGGGTCTCCTCGTAACCACGGACAGCGTGGACGCAAATCGCCCGCCTCGCGTCGCGAGACAACGGCGGAGCAGCGAGCGACGTGAGCGCGAATCGATGCGATGCAACGCCGTGGTCACGTTCAGAAGATGATGATGATGATGAAGGTGACGGTGATTGTTGCGTTTGTTATCGTAACGATAATGTACGGTTCCCGTTTTTGTGTCCATCATCCACTGCTGGATAACGGCCTCCTCTTCCCTTCACACCCTACCTCGCATCGGTGACCCAGTATTTAATTGTAAATATTATGATAGAGAGAATGATTACGTCAATTTATTGCCGTGAAGGCTCGCGGTCGCCAGGGTTAGTCACAGGGTGTTGAACCACCATACTTCACCACGCTGGTCAGTGCGCGTTGGTAATTAGGAGTGGGGTTTGAACAGTCCCCAGTTTAAGGAAATTTCACTCGCCGCTAGTCATTATCGGCCCGTGGCCGGGAATCGAACTCAGCTCGCCGTGTTCAAAGCGCACACCGGCACGAAACCACTGCGCCACCGCATCATTGCCGCGATCATTAACACGACGCATTACGTAGACACGCGCACGCACACGCGTAGCACAGCACGGAACAACTAAACACACGCGAGCGTAATCTAATACGGGTTTGTGTTCAGTTTACAGAAGCGTGCTCGCATGGTGATGCTGCTGGTGGCGGTGGTGGTGATGGTGGTGGGCAGCCAGATTCATTCTGAGAGCAGCGTCCAGTGCGCAAAAGCTCCGCCACAGCAACACAAGTCCGAACGCAGAGCGCGAGACACCCTCAGCACTCACTCACTCGCTCACTCACTCGCTCGCTCGTACCCGCTGCTATAACGCGGAGCGGCGAATCGGTTGCGAACGAGGCGCTAATTCACGAAAAGTCACCGCACCTGGACGATCGCGCCTCCTTCCACTTCGAGGACGCGAAACCCCCTCTCGGTCCTTCAGTCCGTGCCGTCCGTCGCTTCCCGACTTTCGAATGCCAGGGGGTTGGATGAACGAACCAACGGAGGAGCGGGAGAGTCACGAGGAAGGGGCGTGGGAGCGCCGGTGCACAGCAGTGCGCTCTTGCTGTCTCTCTCTCTCCCCCTCCCTCCTGATTGTGAATTGCCGACAGAGAGAGAGAGAGAAAGGGGAGAGCGCGCGCGAGAGAGAGAGAGACGGGAGAGAGAGAGAGAGCGTGGGAGAGACCCTTAGGCGACTGTGCCTCCCGTCATACTGAATTGGACTGAGCCCGCACCTCCGCGCTGTACTCCTCCTCCTCCTGCCGCTGCTGCTGCTGCTGCTTAAATGATTAATTTTCCGTAGCGGCCACGACGCCTGTGCTTCAGAACAGCACCGATGCCCAAGTAGGCACGGCACGCCGGACTGTGGCGCACGCTCGCGATGCCCATGCAACCACGCGCAAGTATGTTCATTCCTCCAAATATGCCGTAGCTATTAAGACGAGTTTAAAAACATATTTTTATAAACGTGGCTCGTACGACGATTAGACGCCCATCGAGCAACGCGAGCTCGTTAATTCAAACGCCGCCATCGTCGCCGTCGTCAGCCATGCTCAATCCACTGCCGAATGAAGGAGGTCTTCCCCCAGCCACAGTCGCCTCCCACGATTCTGCGATGTAATAACACAGCTGGCAGCACGTGCGCACCAACTGATTTCATCGCTCCATCTCCCCGGTGACCCACGACGTGACTGTCGTTGGGGGCGTGCAATGTATTGGCGTCGACTGTGATGCTGATGATGATGCTGTTAATAACATGATACGTGACGTGACGGCTTGTGGAGGCATTCCTTCAGCAGTGGGTTGAGCACGGCTGTTGCTGCTGATGAACGTGAATTGCGATATTTATTTATTAATTCTTCCGGGGAAGCATCGGGGAGTCCCATCGCTGGATTTCATGAAGGTCCTGCGTTAGGGAAGTTTGGCCATTTCGACGAGTGAGTTACTGTTAGGACCATGCTTGTTTTTGTTTTGTCATCGGAGTGCTTTCTCCCGTAACATCTGGCAACCCATCATCATTTATCGAACAGGTCTGGCTCTGCTGATGAGATTGTGAATGTCGAAACCCGATCGGAGTTTGGCTGCTTAAACAAATGCTGCTGGGTAATATCGATCTGCAAAGCCAATAGCCCGATGGACTGAAAAAAAATAATTATGTCCAAACGCGTTTTTGTGGAGGCGTCACTTATTTATTTATTTACTTATTCGACATTCTGGAGTAAAACCCGGAGAGCCGGGAGAAAAGCCGCCACGCATTCGAGAGGACAACCACTCACCAGTGCCAACCCCCTTGACCCACCGTGCAGCGCCATGCGCGCGTGCACGGCTGGAGGGCAGCAGAGGGCAGTGCCAGCCAACATCCGATTTACTGTTACCGCGCTCTAAAGCTCTCGCGTATGTGCATCCCCGATGTTCGCTACCCCGCACTTCACCTATGCGGTGAAGTGTCGGTCAAACTAACAGCGCACGGACAACACAGCAACGGGAAGGCCGTCCATCCAGGCAGTGACTTGACAAAAGAGGGCTGTTCAATGCGTACGTGTTCAATACAAACAATAACACATCTGCAAATACATCAATCTGCTTTGCGGCTATGAGTTGCAATTGGATTCCAGAATTGATCTGCGCTTGTGTTAAACCGTCGGGGTGAATAGTAGCGGCATCTAGCGCCTGGATAGGGGTCACGTGAACTCGTTCGGTACGCACGCGTACGCATGGAGAGGAGTGGGGGGTCGGGATCGACTATGTCCAAACCACAGGACCCAACAACGCACAAATTGTAAGCCAGCCGAATCGATGCTCACCGATAATTCCTCGCACGTTACGACAACCCCGCGCCCTGCGATCTACCGCGCGAAAGCGTAGCGCTGTGACTCAAGCGCATTCGTCAGGCGCCAGTCGTTTGACATACTTCACCGCGCGGTGTCATTGCGGGTTGGCGAGCACCCGTTATGATATCGCTCGCCGCTGATGTGAGCCACTGATGGGCCAGAGTTCCCTGGGGTCACGCCGAGTGCAGCGCGCTAACCACTGCGCCACCGCTCCGGCCACGGTGACTAATTGATCACTATGCATGCGGGATTGTGCACATGCGGTCGCCTTCAACTGACCCGCGCTGCGAGGTTGACACGCGCTTGTTTTCAACGTTACCATTGAATATGCAAAACATCAAGCGGTGCTTTGCTGCTGAAGGTAAAAATAAGTAAAAAATGAAAACCCTGCCGTTTGCTACATTGCTGCATCTACACTCGCATGCACAATTGCGCATCCTTGCCAAACGTATCTAGATGTATGTCTATATATATACAGTACAGACAAAGACAAATACGCCCCCCTCCGTCTAGCCCTTCACAGACTGATGGGACAAGTGCTGTAAGCGAGCACCTATGAAAGTTGGCACGGCACTCGACGGAGTGGATGGCCAACACTCACGCCCGGCCGCCTTTGTCTCCCCAGTACTTCAGTTTACACACCGCACAAGGTACTCATTTAAGGCTGAGCTGACCGAGGTGGGGGGGTGGGATGCGGGACACCAGTATCGGTTCAAATATCTGCCACTATTATTGGCCGTGAGCGGAAATCAAACTCGGGTCGACGGGTTCGTAGCGCGGTCTGCTAACCACTGCGCTACCGCGTTTCACACACGCGCAAACACATCAACAGCCCCTGCTGCCGATGCTGCATTAAGCACGTTTGCTCGTAGCCGTGTCTCGCGTAATCCGTGCGAAAATGATTTTGCTTGCAGCTGCGGAGGGGACGGAACGCCGGGTGTGTGCACGTGGCTTGTGTTCGGCATTAAAGCTCCATCTTGTGGTGTGGATGATGATACAATCGCGGCTCGAATGCCCCCTCCAGGCGAGTCGGGGATACGCTGTGCTCCGAATTGCAAGTTCCGACCGCATCAGCACCACGGACAGCGAGTTAGAGTGGAGAACCCCAAGCAGGGCTTCATGGTGCGCACATAATCATCATCGGCAGCGTCATCACCATCATCATCACACGTGATCTATCTACTGCTGGAAGAAGCCCATCCAACAAGCCCCCAGCTGAATCTTGACGGTCTTGCCAATGTTACGATCCATCCAGCAACCGCATGCACGAGCTGATGGCATGCATCGCTCCATCTCTGCTCTGGTTGATATTCTGTTGTTAGCCTCGACCGCCGGCTACCTCACAGCGCAAGTCTATAACACCTGGTTTTGCGAGGCATCCTCTAAACACATTTATCAAAAGGAAAGAAAAAAACATCAACTCTCTACTCACTGAATTTTGGGCAAATGGTCCTTCTGCAGTCGAGAAGCCAACGAGGTGAAGTGGGAAAAATCATTGGGGACTGCACTTTACACCACGCGGGCTGATACTAATTAAAACGGACGAATGTTTTCTGATAAACTGTTTTTCAATTGTCGTGTGAATAGTTTCCAGTAGCAGCTGAGGAACAGACATCCCCTTCAATGAACACAAAGCGCTTGACCAAATACACTTTTTTGTATTAAAAGTACAATTATAAAATGTTGTTTGCAGATTGGGTTATGGCTATCCCTGTTCCATTGAGGTCAACCAGAATTTGTATTATCCATTTAGTTGCACATTCCTCGGCCCAATTATCAATTTTATCGGATTAGAAAGCCAATCAATACATTTTTATGGGATCAAAGAGCTTTTCAAATGTTTTAAATTCCTGAACCTGGCAAGCAGAGTGGAGGAATTGTAATCCAACAAGATTCTACTCATTTGGGATTCTTTGGCTTAACACGTGTGTCAATAACAATTCCTCGAAAAGGAAGAATATATAACAGGTAACATTTCCGGTAATGGTCCTACTTCGCTTATATGCTATGTTTTTTGTTAATTGTGCTTGAACACGTAACTACGCGTATACATAATATAACAATATTAGATTCAGCTTCGCTTGGATTCTGACATTCATGTAGAGTTGTGTTTCATCATAGCACAGTATTGCTTTTAAAATGAGATGTATGTTAAGGATTTTCAGTGATACTATTCATAATGGAGACATCATGGGCGAGTTTAGTGTAGCTTAATTCAATATTGCATCCGTGTGTACATATATATATATATTGGAATACCGTAGTGTGGTTTAGAATGCAAGGCACGCAGTCCCACAGGATATTTCATTAGCAGAGGTAGAATGAAAAATAACTCTCGTGGGTTAACTAATGGGAAATATCTTTAATTGACGTAACAACGGGCAAGCATTAACTTAATTTTAAATTTCTGTGGTGTATAATTCCCAGTTCAATGAATGGAAATTCCTTCCCCAAAGTGCCACGTGAATGTTGAACGCCCTTTAAATTGCCTCCACCTGCCTCCAACGATAGCAACAATGAGCACGATTTTGTCTTTTATTTGAGAAGCTGACTGTGATGTTGATGAATACTATAGAGGTGGGGGGGGGGGAAATTATGAACACAATAAAAATAATACATTAACATTCCAATGTTGCTTATTCCGTAGATACGCGTTCATGTTTTGGGAATCTAATCAAGACCAGTTGTTTGATACCATGGACATTTCTTCAAGATCTCTATCACTGATCCTCCATGGAATCGCCCCTCTCTACATCTTACCAATCATCTCTGTTCCCTTTCATACGCTCCCCCCTACCTCCCCCCTCCAATCTTACTATACTCCCCTCCACGCACTCTCCTACCTCTCCCCTCTCATCTCACTCTACTCCCCTCCACGCACTCTCCTATCTCTCCCCTCTCATCTCACTCTACACCCCTCCACACACTCTCCGACCTCCCCCCTCTCATCTCACTCCCCTCCTCGCACTCCTCTCTGCTCTCATCTCACTCTGCTCCCCTCCACGCACTCTCCTACCTCTCCTCTCCTATCTCACTCTACTCCTCTTCACGAACTCTCCTACCTCTCCCCTCTCATCTCACTCCCCTCCACGCACTCTCCTACCTCTCCCCTCTCATCTCACTCCACACCCCTCCACGCACTCCCCTACCTCTCCTCCCGTTGTATTCTTGCCTATGGAAAAATGTCAAGGCCCTAAATACCAACAATGCTCGAGGTCTATGAACCACGACAATAGGGCTTCAGGAGAGAGTTCGCGTCGCTTTCTTCTGTTCCTGTAGTAACGGAGTGCAGACTCAATTGGCGCAGTTCGGTCGCGCCTTTGCCATCCACCTGT